TACCTTAAGTACTTAAAGATTATAGTTGGTCATTGTTGGGTAAATACATTAAATAATAAGATTAGAAAAGTGTTATTGTTACATGCATATAATTTTAAATAATTACTTTTAAGGAACACACATGTTTTTGGTAATATTTGTTACCATTTCAAAGGTTTTATATGCAAGATGGTAGATTGTTTAAAACTTAAAGATGTCGTAAAATTGTATTATATGTCGAAAAAATTGTATTAACTTTTCTGCCAGTGCACCAGCTTGATCGATATCGGGCGCAGAAAAATGTGGTAAATACAAGCAATCGAGTTGTAATAAATTTCAAGTGTAGCGCACCCGCGCCCCAAAAACCAGGAGGAGTTCGGAAGAGCCGATGGAGGAGTTTGAGGGTCTGGAAGAGTGGGAACTTGTTGCACGCATGTTGACACACGCATGTGGAATCAAGGGAAGAGGGGCCATCGGGTGATTGGGGATAGGTGAAGAGGTGTTAGAAAGGCCAAAGCCGAAAGCCGAAAGCCGTTGATATCTGGCAAACATTTTACCTGCTTTTGTGGCGCCCGAGCTGGCACCGTGGCCCTCCTTTCGCCTTTTCGCTCCCCTTTCACCCATTACGCCCCCCCTCACTTGACCAACTAACTTTGCGGTTTAAAGCACTTAAATATCGACTGCCTGATGTTGCTGCTTTTGCTGCAGCAACCGTTGCATGCAACAAGCGTCAATCACCCGCACAAAACTGAATATAAAAACCGTTGCCTGTTTTGCTATGGAAAATTGTTGATTTGCCGCTTGATTGCGTGCGTGCTGAAGTAAAAAAAAAGAGTGGGGGCGACGTGGTTAAAAGAAGTACTGAGTGGGGGAAGAGGGAGGGGGAGGGGTTACAGCCAGAGGCACCTGCACCTGACCATCGGGTGATTATAGAATCGCACTTAGAGCAACGGGAAAGGAAATGCGAAAGAAAGTTTTATGCCTTGAGGTTGGATGGACTATTAAATGCTCTAAAGCGCCACCTATTGTCAGCGGGTGAGCACCTTGAGCTCAGCGCGAAGCAATATAAAAATAAATATATATATCGCGATTGCAGATGTCAGACACCCGAGGATTAGACAGGCGAACTTAAGTGTTAGGAAAGAGCTTAAGTCGAGCCTTTAGTAATCTGACATCATTGAGGGAACTAGAACCTTTAGGATGTTGCATGTGAACTTAAATGCTACCCCTAAGTTAGTCTCATTTCTAATTTCATAAATGTTTACTGACGTATCCAAAATAGCTTCAAATAATCCTATTATCAAATATCCTATCATCAAATATTAATTTAATTTTCCCAGAATTATTTGTTTTATTTTATGTCATATATACAGAGATGTAAGAATGAAAAACTTTTGATGTTGGAAAGTGTATGAATCTAACTATTCTTTAAAACTAAGCTGTTAGTAAAATAATTTATACTAAGTATGAGCAAGAGTACGAATAGGAATGAATAATGAGATGTCAGAATTATGGAATACGATAGTTGCATCCACTATGTTTTATGTAAAAATACTGCATGCTATATTTCAATGCAATAATATAAACTTATTCTGATACAATCCAATATACTCTTTTACTGGGTAAGAGTAAACCCACTTTATCCTGTACTAGCTTTAATCTCTAGGTGCCGACACCCCAGAAAGTATCCCTGAAAACCCCTCTCACCTCGACAGCCTGAGCTCTTTTATGACACACATTTTTATGCCGGAAGTCTGCCCCGTGGCGTGGCAAGAAGCAGGAGAGGACATCCGCGGGGACAGGAGACCCGGGGCTTTGGGGCATCGGGGCCCCCAACTGGGTGTGCAGAGCCTGGGAACGGAAGCTGCTCTCCACCAGAAGACGACGACTGGCCAAACAGCAAGCCAAGCTCAAGACTGGCCAGCGGCAGTCATTAACAGCTCCCAAGCCCGGTAATTAAGCGTCCTTCGCCAAACGAAGGTGAGACTGCCGGCCAGAAGCCCACCTGAGTCCCCTGAAAAAACCCCCCACCATCTCCACCATCTCCGGCAGTGAGGTGTTAATGGAAAATTTGCATTTTCGTTTAAAGTTCGCTGGGCCGCTTGGTTAATGCCTTGCGACGCATCGATTCGTCATGAGCTGGTTAATTGAATGTTTAAATGTTAGACAGGCGCAGAGTGAAGGGTGCCACAAAAGCCAAAATCTCGTTGAGAGGCGAACTCAATTGCTTTGGCAACGGTTGTAAAAATAGACGGAAACCGGCCAGAAGAGTAAAGACTTGGGGGTCAGAAGAGAGATGGCTCAAAAGGTTACCAAGATCGGTTAATGCAATAGATTTTAAGGAATGGAGGTCCATTGATTGGTAGAAGATGGGTTCGAAACATTAAAATAACACTACAGACCCGTTTACATCAATAAAATCGTATATAAAAAGTTCTTGTTACAAGTGCAGTAATGATTAAATCTTCAATAGACTCAAGCTCTAAGATAATTTATATCTCTCTTAATGATTACTTAACATGGACCAAATCAGTGTATAAACTAACAAAGAAAATATAAATTTGAACCATCAATAAACATTATTAAATGTTTATAAACTTTCTTTTGGTTTCGATGTGTTGTTAACCAGGACACAATTCAAAATAAAACAATAAATAAATATGAAACAATTTTCTTTCTTATAAAAAGCTTTAGATCAAACAGATAAATTCACTAATGAAGATATTTGCAGAGCGACATTCCAATAATAATCTAATTAAGAAATATTCTACAGAAAGAAAATGAACATTAAAAGTAATTCGCAGGAAAAGTATAAGCATGCAAACAAAAAATTAAACTAAAGTCTATTATGCATCGTTCATCATAAACATGGTAAACTTTTTACAGATTCCCTGCAAAGATTTTCCCTGGAAATCTTGACGCACAATTATGAGAAGACTTAAGCGGATGAAGCAGGAATGTCATTGCAGACCATTTTTCTAAACATTGTCCTCGGTGCTCCTAGTCCTTGGGCAATGGAACAGCTAACAGGGAACTGGGAACTGGAAACTGGAGACGGTGGGCAGTGATTATGCCACCTCGATAAGCATATTGGTCGAACGATCCGTCGAGCGATTGGCGCACTAAAGTGGCAAGAGCAATTTGTAGCCGGGTGAACGTGCAGCGACCAAAACGGCAGCAAAACCAAGCCAGGCCAAGCATTTCATTTTTTGTGGCTGCTGCGGCCGCTTAATTAATAGACAGCCTCAGTCGCAGATTGTGCTGACCACTTACCACTTGCATATGATCAGTATGTGTTGATTGCTACGGAACATACACCGCGAGAAACATACATTTAGAGGTACTGTATGCCCTATTTACAGTGGAAAAAGTAATTTAATTTAAATGCTTAAAGAAATATATTAAAATATGACAGCGGAATAGGTAATTTTATTTAAATGCTTAAAATATATATTTAACCATGATTTATAGCAATTGTACAGGCTACAAAACGTTGCCCTTTAAAAATTATTAGACTTGGAATAAAATGACAGCTTAAGCACACCATGGCTTACTTTAAGAAGTTGTTAAACATTAATATAAATTTAATTGCCCGAAAACCTTGACATCCGAGAAGTTAGTGGCTTTGAAACGTTTTATATTATGCTTTGGTATATTAAATTAAAATCTATTGGTATTTCCTATAAGTATAAGCCGGCTAAGTATTACAAATGTACAAATATATAATATATAACAAACGGAAACATTTGAGGCTCCTCCAAAATTGAATTTCGATCTTCTACTTTTATAGTTTTGCTCTACATTTTCCCAAAACATAGTTTAGTCTCTGGCTGGGCATTTTCCCCAGTGCCTCCCAGTCGCGAATCCGTATCTGTCCGGTGGCCGCGTATCGTGTTCGTATCTCTCGTCGCCGCTGCTTTTATGGGCCGCTGTGTGTTGACAATTTTTGCCATATGTGCAACGGCCTTCGCGGCCGTTCTTGTCGCATAAATCAAGCTGCAGTCGCAGTTGCAGCAGCAATTGCAGCTGCAAGTCACCGGCGCGGGAGAAAAACAAAGCCCGGTTTAACAAAAAGAAAAACATAAAAAAAGGCAAATCGAAATGAATCGGAATTGCGGGTGTAGCTCGTTTCCCAGCCTGCCACAACGGGTTTTTCGCTCAGGCGACCTTAGAAAATATGCAACGGCAACGGCGACAGCAATTTATTGCCCAGCCATCAATGGAAGTCAATGAGCTGCCACTCCCCCAAAAACCCCCCTGGTTTTGCTAAGGTCGTATGTGGGTGTACCTGGTAGACGGGGGAGGGGGAAGGGGGGGTGGAGCAACTCCAATGCAACTCCAATGCAACTCCAGGCAACTGCACCTGCAGTTGTTGCCGCTGCAGCTGCAACATGCAAATTTGTGATTAAGGTCAGCCCGCAGCATCATCAGTCGCATCAACTTCACAAGTCTGGGGTTAAGTCTCGCGGATGTTTGTCTACCTCGAATCGTGGGTGTCGCGGATAAAGATGAGTTACCCGGGGGCCAAAAGGCAGCGGAGCCAGAAGGCAATCGTTTGTCAGCCAGAACTCACGGCCTTTACAAATAGGAAGAGATACTTTACTTGATTATTCATTATATGTATGGTAAAATACTAGAGGGGGGCCTGGCTTTTACTTGATTGCCAAAACCCCACTAACTAGATAAATAACATTACATATTAGTTTATATATTATAATCCCAACTAATTATGGTTTTAGGATTGCTTTTTACATAAAAACTTGGGTAAAGGAAGATAATTAATGATAGTAGAATCAATAAATAATAATAGGACGAATTTTCTAATGATTCTATCGGACATCCGACCTTAAATTATACCATAGCTTACTAGAGATTTCTTTGGCAGCTATTGGAAATTGATTTTTAACAGGACTAAACAAATTTAATAAGAAATATAAATATAACGGGCAAACCATTAACTACATTGGTTGCATAGAAATGTTCTTTTATTTTAGTGTCAAATTCTCCTCACTCGATCGACACCGACTTCGGAATGATCCCAAGTATTTATTAAAAACTGTATATACTTTTAAATGGTCATCAAGGTCCTTTATATAAATTAACGGTATTATTTTCACGGGGAATGACGGACAGGTAAGGAAGTGCAGGTGCTTTAAGGACTAATGACTGAATTTTCCCATTTGCAGTACATACGATCCCTACCTGTACCGCAGTGTGGACAAACCTATCTCGTAAGACTCCATCTGATCCAACGTACGAATATATTTAATACATGTATTTAATTTTCAGAAATTTTGGAGCATTTACCTCCCTGATAACATGCGTCATTGGAACTGGGGTTCTGGCCATTCCATTGGCATTTAGCTTTTCGGGCACGCTTCTTGGCATTTTTCTTCTGATTGTTACGGCCATTCTGCTCATCCATGGAATACAACTGATAGTAATGACTGGTTGTCCTTAATCAGAGTTGTACCCTTTAATCAGAGTTGCGTTGTAGGTGATTTGCATGGTGGAGTGCTCCCGTCGAATGCAGATCGGCTATGCCTCATATCCGGACGCGATGGTTTACTCCTTTTCCCAGGGCCCCAAATGCTTTAGGTATTTTTCCAGGGCTTCGGGTTACCTGGCGGACGTGGTGCTCTGTTTCTCACACTACGGAATCTGTGTGGTGTATCTAGTGTTTGTCGCCAGCAACGTAAAGACCGTGATGGATGACTACGAGAGTGTGGCCGACATACGGTATTATATTGCCTTTACTGGACTGCTAAGCATACCCATTTTCAGCATTATTCACCTGAAGTTTCTGATTCCCATAAACTTGTTGGCCAATGTTTTGCTCTACATTGGCTTCGCTATGATTTTTTACTACTTATTTGAGAATCTACCGCCGTTCTCTAATGATCAGCTTTTTGTGGGCGACTCCATGAAGCTTCCCCTATTCTTCGGAATCATCCTCTTCTCCATATCTTCGGTGGGCGTGGTAAGTTCTATATGATATATAGTAGGTTTAACCATTCCAAATGGATCACTTCCATCCAGATGCTGGCCATCGAGTCCAAGATGGCTACACCGCAAAACTTCATCGGGTGGTTTGGCGTTCTGGATTTATCCGCCATAGTAGTCGTTATCTCTTACATAACGTTTGCAATATTTGGTTATTGGCGCTATGGAGGGGAATTGAAAGCATCCATTACACTCAACCTCCCGAGCGAACCGTGAGTTTTATTCAGTAGACGGTGAAGCGGCAGTCATGAAGGTTTTTATCAATAAAAGTACTTTACATGCAGCCGCTGCACCGTTTACAACTATCAGTAGAGTCCTGCATAATTACTATTCGAACTTTATACCAATTTATAAATTTAATTTTATTAATTAGGTAAGATCTAAAAATCAAAAAAAAAAAAAAATAGGTGACTACTTTGTCAGTAAAATTAATTTTTTTCTTAAATAGTTTGACATTGAAAAGGATGCAGGACTTCTTGAATATTAGTTCCGAATACTAACCACTAAATCTTAGGTTGGCCCATACAGCTCAAATAGTTTTTGCCTTTGACGTCTTTCTGTCGTTCCCACTGTGCGGATTCGTTGTGATCGATATCATCATGACCCACTACTGGAACAAAAGTGGGAACCTGAAGCGGGCCAAGACGAAGGAGATCATTCTTAGGATATGCTTTGTGTTGGTCGCCACCCTCAATGCAATCGCCTTTCCGGGCTTGGGTCCCCTTTTAGCACTAACTGGAGCATTCACCATATCACTGCTGAATCTTGTCTTTCCGGCACTTCTTGAGATCTGTTTGTACTACCCGGAGGAGTTCAACTACGGAAGGTTTAAGTGGAAGCTCGTCAAGGACATAATCATGATGATATTCGGAGTCCTCATTCTGGTCCAAGGCACCGTCTTTGCCATCAAGGACATGATAGATTTCTATGGTCAATGAAATGTAGTAATGTATCTGAAAATAAACATACCCTTTGAAAACACCACAATGAAAACTGTGGAACGCATTCAAACCCACTTTTCGGTTCATGACAATAAGCTCCTAAACAGGAAAAATTATTTGTAAAATCATCCAATTCTTCAGTTAAAGTGCTACACCCGATAATTTTTTGTTAACGTAACTGTAATTAACAATCTATGTAATGCATTAATTAATGGCTACCATTTCAAAGAAAATTAAACCAAAAAAAAATATTTTTTAAAAATACAGTACTTTTTCACTTGTAAAGAATAGTATTTCCTTTTCATTGTCTGTCCTGTATTTGGTGACCTGAAACTGAATATATTAAACGAGAACGGAAGTTCATTTCGGCAAAATTGATGACTGTACCTTCATACATATTATCTATATAGCAGAAAACAGAAACTCAAGACATGACTATATCATACTGATACTGATCAAAGATATAAGGTCGAAAATGTTTCCTTTTCTGGCCAACATTATTCTTACCTCTGCAAGGGTTCAAAAAATAATAATAGAAAAACCATCCATAAACTAACATTAGTGGCGTCGTATAATACTTTTGTTTTAGTGTCATATTTTGTTTACTATAGTTCCTATGTTTCTTTTTACTCACCAACCTTTTTTAAAAAATTGTATACATTTTTAAATGATTATTAAAGTGGTTTGTATAAATTAACGGTATTCTTCTCACTTAAAATGACGGATAGGTAAGGAAGTGCATGTGTTATAAAACTCAAAGACTGAATTTTCCCTTTGCAGTTCATACGATCCCTACCAAAATCGCAATGTGGAGAAACCAATCTCGTAAGACTCCTTATGATCCACACCTTAAATCTATTTTTATTAATTTTCAGAAACTTTGGAGCCTTTATATCCCTGATAAAATGTGTCATTGGGACTGGTATTTTGGCGCTGCCCCTTGCATTTAAATTTTCGGGCACGCTTCTTGGCATCCCTCTTCTGATTCTTACGGCCATTCTGCTCATCCATGGAATACAACTGATAGTAATGACTGGTTGTCCTTCATGTACCCTCTAATCAGAATTGCCTTGTAGGTGATTTGCATGGTGGAGTGCTCCCGTCGAATGCAGATCGGCTATGCCACCTATCCGGACGCGATGGTTTACTCCTTTTCCCAGGGCCCCAAGTGCTTCAGGTACTTTTCCAAGGCCGCGGGTTACTTGGCGGATGTGGTGCTATGCCTTTCGCATTACGGAATCTGCGTCGTATACCTAGTGTTTGTATCCAGCAACATAAAGTCAGTGATGGATCACTATGCATTTGAGGCGGACATACGCTATTATATTGGCATTTTTGGACTACTAAGCTTACCCTTTTTCTGCATCCTCCACCTGAAGTATCTTATACCCCTCAACTTCTTGGCCAATATTTTGCTATACATTGCATTTGGTATGATTTTTCACTATATTTTTCAGGATTTGCCGTCTTTTACTGATCGTCCATTCGTGGGCGACCCCATGAAGCTTCCCCTATTCTTCGGAATCGTCCTCTTCTCCGTATCTTCGGTGGGCGTGGTAAGTTTTGCAGTGAGAATATTATATGGGTTTTACCTATCCAAATGGTTACTTCCTTCCAGATGCTGGCCGTCGAGTCCAAGATGGCCAAGCCGCAAAAGTTCATCGGGTGGTTTGGCATACTCGACTTAGCCGCCTTGTTGGTCGTTGTCTCTTACGTCTTGTTTGGAGTATTTGGTTATTGGCACTACGGAGATGAAGTGGCAGCATCCTTAACACTCAACCTGCCGGACGAACCGTGAGATTTATTAAGTGTAAACGGTGAAGCGGTAAACGGTGAAGCATAAATGATTTCACTAACAAACAAGAGAGAACGCTATAGTCGGGTGCCCCGACTATCAGATACCCGTTACTCAGGTAAAGGGAGTGCGAGGGAGATGGAGATAGAAACTTTGATCACGCATAACTTTTTAACGAATGGTCCGATTTGAAAAATTTCTTCTACATTTCGATAGGTATTGATAAACACAATAAAACTGCATTTTTACTTTTCCGAAATATTTAAATTTTTAAAATCGTATATAAGCGATTGTGGGCGTTAAAGGGGGCGTGGCACCTTTTTGAAACCAACTTGCGCTGCGTAGGAACTCCTAGAATCTGCATGCAAAATGCCAATCTTCTACCTTTTATAGTTTCCGAGATCTCAGCGTTCATACGGACAGACAGACAGACAGACGGACAGACGGACATGGCTATATCGACTCGGCTAGTGACCCTGATCAAGAATATATATACTTTATAGGGTCGGAAACGCTTCCTTCTAGCTGTTACATACTTTTGCACGAATACAATATACCCTTTTACTCTACGAGTAACGGGTATAATTACTTCAATTGCAACCGCTACACCGTTTACAACCATCCTGCATAAGTACTACCATAAGGGTATTCATTTAGTTCAATAATGAAAAATCAAAACAAAAAAAATTATAAAATTATCCATTTTAATCTATATACCGAATTTTTAATTAAATTTAATTGTTGAGTAAGCCTTTGGAATAGACCTTGTGAGTTGTTAGTAATACAAATGGAAATACTAATGCAGGATTTTTTTTAATATTAAATCCCAGGTTGGCTCATGCAATCCAGGTAATTATTGCCATTGACATCTTCTTGTCGTTCCCGCTGTCCGGATACGTTGTGATCAATATAATCATGACCCACTGTTGGAACAAGAATGGGGACCTAGAGAATCCAGTTCTGAAAGAAATCCTACTGAGGATATGCTTTGTGTTAGTCGGCACCCTCAATGGAGTAGCCTTTCCGGATTTGGGTCCCCTGCTAGCACTAACTGGAGCCTTCACCATATCGCTGCTAAATCTCGTCTTTCCGGCACTTCTCGAGATCTGTTTGTACTACCCGGAGGGATTCAACTATGGAATTCTTAAGTGGAAGCTCATCAAAGACATTATAATGGTTATTTTCGGAGTCATCATTCTGATACAAGGCACTATCGTTTCCATCATAGACATTGTAGAGTACTATGGTGCTTAAAAAAGAAACCAACCCTTTGGAAGGACTATAATGACAACCGTGAAACACACTCAAAAACCCCTCGAAAGGGCTTTTTCCGTTTCTGAAAATAAAAAACGTATAAATAAAGTTTTAAAACAAATTGCAAAAAATGGTTTTACAAAAAATAGAGCAAAAACCTGCGCTTCTAAACCAATAACTTTTCTTACCGAAATTTAAAGTGGCTTACTTTAAACTGATTGTGGTAAATAAATATCTTGATTAACAAGAAAGAAAAGCTAACTTCGGACGGAGCCAAAGTTGATATACCCTTGCAGAATATTCTGTAAATTATATTCTTCAAAATTATTCATATGATGTATTCTTAATACTCATAAAAAGTCCCAACTTCCTAACTTTAAAAACACCAAAGTTAAGGCATTTCCAATCGTTCAGTAATATGGCAGCTATAGGATATAGTCGCCCGATCCGGCTCGTTCCGACTTATATACTACCTGCAATAGAAATACAACTTTTGGGAAAGTTTCAAGCAGATAGCTTTAAAACTGAGGGACTAGTTTGCGTAGAAACGGACGGACGGACAGACGGACATGGCTATATCAACTCAGGAGGTGATCCTGATCAAGAATATATATACTTTATAGGGTCGGAAATGTCTCCTTCACTGCGTTGCAAACTTTGTACTGAAATTATAATACCCTCTGCAAGGGTATAAAAATTTGGTTTGGATTTGGTTCAATTGTCGAAGAACATTTTGTATTATTATTATTGTATCTCTTTTGCAAGAATATCGCTTAAAACTATTGTAGTTTCTGCCTCGACATTCGTTCAGTTCAATCTGTAGGGGCATCAGAAAGAGTCAACATTCGTTTAACAATTTTGTGGCTGCAATTCTTTTGATTTGTTCCTCAACTTCCCCCACCATTGCAGACAATTTTGCGGCTGTTAACGACAAATGACATTCGGAAAGCTATGAATTTTATGGGCAGAACAGCGCAGCTTGAGTGGATTGAAGTGGATTGGAGTCTGATGGAGGGAAGAGTGGTGCTGGTGGTGGTGGTGCAATGGGTCTGTGGTTAACGGCGGGTTATGCGGGTGCTGCGACCAAGGAACCCAAGAGTAAAACCCCCCGAAAGGCCCCATCTAGCCGGTTTCACCTGCCTGCCGAGGCACCACCTTTCTCCCCCACTCCCCCTTTTGCGGGGCTGCAACGTGGTGTAATTAATGCAGCAGCAGCTGCGCTTTGCCTTCTGCACCACCAGCACCACCACCACCGCCCCTTAACCCTCCACTGCCCCTAACCGACGGCCGCTTATCTCGGGCTGGCATATCGAACAAGAAAAGAAATCTTTTATAGTCTTTTGCGGTTTGTCTTTGAGTCATTTTGGCATGCATTTGGCATCGATTTAGAAACGCTCGCCTGCCCCGCGATCCGAGTGCGTGAGTGTGGGAAACGTGGCCCCAGTGCCCCACCGAGTGCACCACCAATGCCCCAAAGGGGTCCCAATGTCCCACACGGAAAAGAAAAATGGTAAGGGAATACTTGAAGGCAGTGTAAAAATATATAGACATAGTATTCACAAATATTTGAATGTCTATTTAAAGTAAGATTATGTTCATCTAAAGCCCTGAAATTTGTTAAATTTTTAAATCTCTTTAAATAACTGAATAACTTTTTATTTATTTTGTAAAAATACTCTGAAATGTTCAGCCTTATGCTCAAAATAAATACAACTTTATGATTTAATTGCACGGATTTTGTTGAAGTTTTTAATTAATATTGTTGGAAATATCATAATATTTTTGAAAATATAATAATCATAATATAAATAACTAAATAAGACTTGCAAGCTTAGATACATAAATAATAACTAATTAAAGCTAATACCATTATTACCTAGTTTCCTAAGTTTTCACTACGAATTATGTTTAAATGTGCAATTTTTAAACCAAATTTTTTTCGAGTGCAGGCGGGTGAAATGAGCGATTCCAATCGCGTTTCTTGGCTCTTTTGGCGCTGCCAAACGGAGCGCGGCACCCGCCGCAGACCGATTGGAATCGGCAGTCAAAAAAAAACCACAGCAGCAGGAAAAGCATCAGCGGTGCAATTGCAGCACCACCGCCTCCTACAAGTTTTCAATTTCTCGTCTGGCGCTTTGACAAGCGAATTTTTGCGTTATTTAATTTCTGCCGCCGCCGCAGCCGCCAAACAGATGAAACACGAGCGATAAGCGCATCCCAAAAATTGCATTTCATTTGCACTTGCAGTCGAGAGAGTCGAGCAAAAACGTCAAATTGATGTGGGCCCCAAATCCGCCCAGAAGACATATCATCTAAAAGGAGGCGATTCACGCAAATGCCGGGTCAAGAATGCCATGTTCCCTGAACTGCGCAGTTTACCTCCGTTCTATTCCGTTTCGGCCTTTGTCATCAGCATCAACATGATGCGGGTCATAAAATGGCAAAAGGAAAGGACATCGAACAATAAGATACCCTTGAAATATGTATCAAATTTTTTCGAAAATATATTTTTAAAAAAATTGCCACCAAAACGATTTATTTTAGAAAAGTAAAGAGCAAAGATATGGAAAGAGTTTAACAACAATATTTTAAGAAACATTTAAGAACATGTTTTATTTAAATGTTTACCTTCCTAGAGCTGTATGAAAATGATACAAAATAAAAAGAAAAATAAAATCAGGAATGTAGTTTTACTTAAAAACTCACATTACTTAATCTAATCTAAATATATAAATTAGTAAAAATAAGTAAATTGACAAAAATATTTTGTGGAAGTTTTATCTTTTTGGCATATTTTAAGGGTGAATATAGCTCTGTTTTAAAGTTATACATAATTACAAATATTAAAAGAATAGTACAATACAAGAAAAGAAACCAAGAAAATAAATGTTCAACCTGAATCCCTTATCATCCAGACAGTGTACGGAATTAATTTATAACTTAATAAAAAAGTAGATTTTCAATCTCTTAGGACATTTTTTCTGACCTTTTTAATATGCTTCACCAGTAATCAATCTACCGTAGTTATTCTGGCCACTATAAATAAACCGAAATAAAACGCCTTACCGAGCTGACATACCCTCACCTCCAGAGTAGCAAAAGGCCAAGAGTCCTGGTCCAAAAAAGAGCTTCCAATTTGTGCGGCTTGTCGTAAAGTGTTTGTGTTGTTTCTGTTTCGCATTTTTTCGCCACTTGCCTCGGCTTGTGGCAGGGCAGCCATTCATTTGGTTTTTATGAGCCGAGGCGGCAAGCGGCGATGAATGTGGCAGGAGCTCCAGGTCGTCCTGTTTCCGAGTTGATTAGAAGGCCAGGTGCCTTTCGTAGCCTGCTTAACCATGTCTTGCTGCGGCATGTCCTGGTGCTCTTGTCCTAGTCCTATTTTAGTTTCTTTCCCATTCCCATTTCCCCTTCCTGTTGATTTACGCCGTGGCTTATTGCTTTTTGGCCTCGCCCAGACACCCACAGCGAAAAAAGTAAAACAAGAGGCTAGAGAATGGGCAGACAAATGGCTTGGCATTTTTTAGAATTGTCCAAATGTTTGGAACCATGTTAATTGTGCGATAAATTCGGCATTAGATACTGCCGGCGATCGCTAAATCAGCAATTCGATACGCTACATCGATCTAGAGACAACAGCACTGTGCAAAATTTAACTTAAAATTTAATTATTATAATAATAGGATTTATAAGCAATTTTACAGTAAAATAAATTATTTATTTGATAATATCTCTTTATAAAAACAAATGTTAATAGACGTTAAAAATAGTTAAAGGTAATTAAACCAAATTATAGCAAAGTATAAAGAAAAAAGTTGGTATCTCATTACCATAAATTAAATATTTAAAAATAAAATTTCCACATGTTCTTTAAGCTTGGCAATCATTTTATATTTTTATCCATATAACCTCCCCATTTTCGCGTGAAAAGCTCTGTAAATAATTCCAAGGCTGAGCCCCCAAAATTCACCTTGGATCGTGCCGCTCCTTCTTTCTCCACGAGTGAGTGATGGGAGATTGCAATCGAGAGCTGCTGATTGCAGATGGTCAGATGGCCGGATCGTGTGTACACAACGTATATATGGCGTATATATCAGTATCAAACTGTGCCGGCCAGGCTACTCGAATTGCGTTGGCACCTGCAACCAGCAACCAGCAGCCTCCAACTGGGACACTGCCTTTATTTTACAGCTCAATAAAGTGAGTGAAAGGGGAGAAGCTGAACGAAATTGGAGCAGTCTAATAGGAGGAAATAACCGAAATTGCTGACGGGCAGCAAGAAAGCCTCAACCAACTAAGGGAATTCGCCAGCTGCTGATTTTGTTTTCGGATAATTGATTACCTGCGGAAGGAGACAAGACACCATTTCAGGCGGGATTCCCAGCGAAAGCAAGGATGGAGTGATGGAATGAATGGCCGAAGCCTTGACAGCCTCGCACCTGAGGTTACGCACTGATTGCGCATACGCAGCGTGCAACGCGCCGATTTTCTCACACTGCTAAATGTGCACTCAAACAAGAAAAAAAATCAAACAAGAAAAAAAATCAACAACATAATACAATATTTTTTTAAGAAAGTCCTTAATAAAAACATGTTCAAAATAAAATGTAACTATCAAATTATCATATATAATATATATGCACATATTATTTCAGTAACTTATAGCACAAGTCATTAAATAAGTTTCATTTTTTTTAAAAACTTGGCAGTAAAATAGAAAATCAAATTTTAAGTATTTACATTTCACATTTAATTCTGTATTTATGAATATATGAAAATAAATGAATGTATAAAAAGTATAATATTGTAGTTATTGGTTGCTGTGCATTACAAATATTTAAATGGGAGAAGCACACATAAGTGTTGAGTTATAGGCAGGTAATAAAAACTTATTATTAACTTGTAGTTATGGGTAGGTAATAAATATTTATATGATTTATATTTTATTACTTTTTCATTGCAATGAAATTATCATCTTTAAAAATAAGGGGATAGGCTGGTAACGATTACAGAAAAAAGAGAGCGGCAATCTTTTAAATCTGGGGAAAAATAAATTCAACCAGAAATGAGCCCTTACTTTCTGTCAGTGTTTGAGCGTTTTTAATAATTGACAATTAAAG